TGGAGATGAGTCCACTCCTCTAAAACATCATCAAAATTCACTGTTAGCGGATTTAGGTATGTCCTGAAAGTTTCATCCTTCTATCTTAATTAGAAGTGGATGAATTTGAGTTGCAAAATTTGAGGACACGATACAAAGCAATTTAAATAAAAACGTTAAAAGCAAACAAATGTAATAAGAAATTATCCAAAATTTAGAGAAATATAATAATAAAAAAACAACCCCAAAATTAATATTAAACGATTTTTCACTTGCCATAGCAAAAAACAATCGTTTTTTTTATGCAGTGGTGAAATTTACTTTGTGCTGTTTTGAATAACGTAAGATTGATCGTATCATTTTATGGTAATCGAAATAGGTCCCAATGGAAAGTCAAAGTCTTATTAAAGAATAGTAGCAATAGAGTCAAGATGAAATTACTTAAATGCCTATGGGTACACTATTTCTTCACGTATCTCCGTTCTACATTACAGAAAGCTGTATTGTATTGAGTTCTTCCAGTTACAGAAAGTCCCTTAACGAGTATCTTCTTTAACAAATAGAGTAAACACAGAATAGCATTAAATTTCGAAGATAAAAAAAAATTCATTTACTTTTATGACTTTAACGGCATTTAAATTAGAAAATCTCGAAAATGATATCTTAGAACTTTATAATTATTTTTCGATATTGCTTGAAAGTTAAAAATAGTTTTTTTTTTTTAGCAAAAAAAAAAAAAAATTCAAACGTTAGCTTTAACATAATTAATTTTTTCCCCCAATTTTCTATCAAATAATTTTTCTAATGATAATTTTGATTTCAATTTCATTAAAAATAAAATAATAAAAAAGCACGTAAGAAATTTATTTAATGTCATTTATTTAATATTCATTAAATCTTAAAAATTAAAAAAAAAAATTAAAATCATTTATTAACAAGATTAACAAGTTAAATTCCTTAATGATTATTAAATATTTATTCTGATTATTAAAGTAAACGATATTCAATTTAAAATCTAATGTAAATTTATGTCATTGTTTGATAACTATTAATTAAAATTAATTTATAATTCCATTATAAGAAGTT